GCTATCTGGACTCCATCGCTGCCAAGCAGACAGCCCTCAACCCCAAGCTAGTAAGCAAACTGAAGGACCGGGCTTTCCGTGATGCTGAACGCCGCATCAAGGAATGCATTAAAATGCAGCAGAAGCACCGACGGCGCATGGAGCGTAAATTTCAGAGAGAGACAACAGAAGCATCGGTCTCTGATGCCATGAGCTTCTCCAGCTACGCCAGCAGTACCTTGAGTCGCAAGCTACACCACTTCAACACTGCCACTAGTGTGCCATACTCCCAGGTCAGATTGCTCTGCAATGCTTAAATATTTGGGGCCAGTTTTACTAAACAGGGCAAAGTAGCACAAGAGCGCAATTCCCAAACAGCGCCGATGGGCGTGGAAATTTCTGCGGGTGATTTACTAACAAAGTGCAACTTAAAGAACACAGACGCAACATCTCATTTACATATCGACCAATGCAATATACTAAGCGCAGCACAAATTAGCATAGTCGCAAATAAAGAAATAAAGAAGCCACAGTACGTTGAAAAGCACCGGAGGTCAAAAAAATGAAGGTTTGATAGACCTGGTATTGCGTGACTCCTAGTTGAGGGTTCAAAGTCGTCTTTTATTTCCTGAAGCAAATTAAAAATAACGTGGCTTGGCAAACGATATGTTCGGATAATGTGTTCTTCTGGCATTCCAAATAAATTAGTACGTGTGGAAAAAAATCCTCTCCCTTCTACCACACGCTCTGTTCCCTGCGGTGCCTCCTCCTAACAACAACAAATGCAGCCATTTCAAGTGCAAATACCATAATTTGACGAGCGCAAATGTTAGTAAATCTCGTTGCGAGATTCATTTGAATATTCTCCCCCCATAAATTTTGAAAGGGAAACTCCTACAAATGCATATTCAGTAAGGTCAGGTCCACGCCTTTTCAGTGCTAATTCTTCACTGCGCGTCTTTAGACAGTACTATTTCAACGCCAAAAGACGTTTGCGCTGGCGCAAGCTGCTAATAAAACTGCCCCTTGATCTTTAGTTAGAAGCCACATTCACTAAAGCTAGGGTGACCATACGTGCCATTTTCCCCGGATGCGTCCTGGCCAGGATTTCTATATTGCCTAAAATATCTAGGGTTTGGCTTTGTTTGCGTGTGCAGACCGATCGGTGTATGACATCGGTTCCTTGTGTTTTCGAAACGCTGTCGAGGTACTTTGAATCAAAGCAATATAGAAATCCTGGCCAGGACGCATCTGGGGAAAATGGCACGCATGGTCACCCTAACTAAAGCTATACTTGTACTATTTTTTCGCTCTAGGCTACTCTCCACGCCACAGCCAGGGGCAAAACTAAGATCCAAAAGAAGCTTGAGAAGAAAAAGCAAGGTGACGGGACATTCAAGATTTACGAAGATGGCAGGAAGAGTGTCCGCTCTTTATCTGGCCTACAACTAGGCAACGACGTCATGTTTCTGAAGCAGGGAACGTACGTCAACCCTAAGGACCGGTCTCGTCGTAACATACGTGACATGTTCCCTAGTGACAACGAGGATGCCGTCTCCCGTGCCATCAGCGAACCCGACTTGCACGGTCATGATGTGGACTACTCGGAGATCAGCACCGACTCGGGCCACGACTCACTCTTCAACCGCCCCGGCCTGGGCACTATGGTTTTCCGCCGCAACTACGTGAGCAGTGGACTTTTTGGCATTGGGAGCAGAGACGAAGGCAGTCTAGCAGGCAGCGAACGGGTCGATAACGTGCGCCTCCACAGCCGGATGCATCGCGTGCCCAGTCTGGATGACGATAGCATCGGAAGCGCCCATAGCCTGCAAGAGAGGAACATGCAGGAGCTGCCATGGGAAGAGGTGGAGTTGGGGCTGGATGACGATGATGAGCCTGACAATAGCCCTCTGGAAGTGTTCCTAGCCACACAGAGCATGAACGAGTTCATTCCTATCTTCAAAAGAGAAAAGATTGACCTGGATGCCCTGTTGCTGTGCTCAGATAATGACCTCAAGAGCATTCACATCCCCTTGGGTCCTCGCAAGAAGATCATAGACACCTGTCAGCGCCGATTGGAGACCATTGAGGACCCAGGCTGCATAGAAGACACTGAGTTGTGAAGTTCTGCCCTTAATCCATTTTTTTTTAAAACAGCATATGCTGGTTAGGTATGTTTTGAAGCATGGCAACTGGTTATGAGCTAGTCCTGTGCAGGAGCTAGTTACTTAGGACCAGCTTAAATGCTTCAAAACATACCTAACCAACATATGCTGTTCTTTCAACGGTGATGTCTGTTTTTACCTCAGTGAATGTTGAAACAAAGCAAGAGTTTACAGAACAGTTGTTCCATTTTTCTTTAAAGATTGTAATAGTTACTTCATCAACATTTGGCCAATGCACCAGATATGCTAAAGAAAGAGAAGTCGAAAACAGTCCTGCTCCTGGACGGCCAGTTTAACTCCAGAGTTTAGCTCTGGAAGTTTCTACTGATCCTGGAGACCTCGATTAGCTGGTTCAGGCGTGTTTAATTGGGGAAGTCAATGAAATGAAAACAACCTGTGGTATGAAGAGAAAGTCTCTTGTCATAAAATTTTTATAGGGAGGTTTATAGAGGACCGATGTTGAAATAGCTGAAATATGACTTCTCTAATAGCTGGCTACATTACCTTTTTTACTGACACAAACAACGCAATATGCATAAAAAAATGGTAATTCAGTTCAAATTTAATGGTTATCACGTGTCATGTGGCAAATGCAGAGAGTGAAAATGAGGTCACATCTCATTACACGCACTCTTAATCTCATAATATTTCTGCCCCCATGGGGCATATATCTCAGTGCCTGTGCTTTGCGTGCCTGCACATTTCTAGACAAAATGTCATTTAAGACATAACTTGTGTATATAAGTTGACAAATGTTAGACATACAAAGCTCATTATGTGCTACACTTGGTGGTAATTGTACCGTTGCTGTTCTTGTTAATACACAGATTTGGTTAGTTGCTGGATTCGCTGAATTGTGAGCTGAAAATGGTGAAATGTACAGTAAATGGATTAACAGAATCTGACGCCAGAGTTGCTGTTGTGGAGACTGTATGTAGGATAAAAGCACCCTCACATTATGCTACACATACTTAAATGTTTACATGTATCTGGCCATAACGTGTTTTTTTGAAACACGAGTAATTGGATGAGCTGTGTGACGCATGGTTGAGTTGGTGTACACAGAGAACCCTTTGTTGATCCTGGAGCTTTAACTTGAGGAGCGTAGACCTCATTACCGCCGAGTCATTTCGTTTATCACAACAGTAGTTTCTGGTTGAACTGAGGTATATTGTCAGTAAACAGTATGGTTCATGCACAGGTCTGCAGTACAGCAGGTTCTTGAAAGCCTATCTGTGCTTGAGTTTTTACATGATGTCTTCCTTCAATATTTATGCACACAAACAGCATTTCCAGCCATGTTTTATAATGCATACATCAACTTTTGTTATTTGTTATTTGTTAGTATGTAACTATTAAATTCATAATCTTGAAATTTTTGCAAAATGTGTTTTCGTTTGTCTGATCATTTGTTTCGAATAACGTGTTACATAATAATGATCTGGTCAATACATTTTGGTAAGTATTAAAGTGCTGCATCTACTTTTGTCCTGCCTCTTTTTGTGCAAACTGCAATAAATATGGGTCGGCAAACTTTTATTATACGTGTGATCTCTTACAGGGCTGTTCAAAGCTTTCAGAGAAGGAAAGGCTGTAAATGTGATGGCTGTAGAAACCAACAAAGATATTATGAACAATGTTCCCTTGGGAAATGATGCAAATTATGCTAAATATCCTGCCTGACATCAGAGGATAAAGCTCCTGTGTGATTCAATAGAACTGTCCGGAAGACACAAAGCGATATGCACATCCTCAAGTTGACAGCTCCACCTTACACTGAACCACAGATAGTAAGGTCATGAGGGAAGGCTATATAACATTTAACATATACAATGTCAGAACAGGAGTTTAGATTTTTAGCTGAGGCTGCAATGAGATCAACACAACATCCACAACCTCTAGATCTACAAAACATTGAATACAGAATTTCTGTATGTATGTAACATAGACGTCACCTTTCAGAATTAAACTCTTAGTAAAAATCTAACAGGGTATTACAGTTTAGTCTCGGTACTGGTGATTTAAAGAGATTTTCAGTCATGGTCCTGTACATTTCCCCACAGCACTGCGCATTTTATTTTATGCTTACCTTATTTAACAGAGCAGATTCCGATCATCAGCTCATTAGGAGAGCTCTTTATAAACTGTCAAATCAAAGAGACATACTAATGTGCAGTGCTGTGGGTCCCCAAGACCTGGAAACTACTCATTAAAAAAACAAAAGGGCGGAACTAATCTGCAACATAACATCAAGGATTTTTTTTTAAATCCAAAGAGACTTTTAGCAACTCAAGGAGCCCAAATAGGTTCTTGATTGCTGAGCATGCAAAGTACCACTGAAGAATCTTTCATTTTAAAGTTGAATAATTAAGTACTTGCCGTAAACCGAGTCAGTCTTGCAATCTAACAACATGGCAAGAATCCAGCATTACACTTTGAAGTTGTAACCTTCAAATCTGAGATTTAATTATTGAACTTGTTTGTCACCATGGATAGATTTCTTTGATATCTGAAAGCTAAATGTTGTGACCACAAACTTCACATGGGGAAGACTAGCAATTGCACGTAGTAATATTTATTTATTAATCAAATGCATGTTTGTATCCCTGAATTAAAAATAGTAATGTAACAATAATATAGCCAACAATCTCAGATAACATGCTTGTAATTTTTTATTAAGAGAAATATGATTATGTGATATAAAATTCAGCATGTGAACAACATACTGTAGTGTATTTTTTTTTCAATTTGTGTCATTTTGAGATTAGTTCATCAGTGATTGTTATGTTAAGTTATGTTTTTATTCATATTATTTTGTCATCACATCCCCCATCAGATCAGCTGATACTACACCGTTCATGCATTGAAATCAGTTTCATCATAAACAGGATTTACGAAATGCACTCCTGACTGAGTTAGGGTTATCGAGTTTATCATCTCTGTCCCATACAGCCCTGGTTCCTCAGGCATCATAGTCGGTTTGTCAAACATGGGGTTGTCAAAGCCGTGGTCCAAGGGGCCACCAAGCTCCCCAATCTCACTACTGTTCTTCCACTTGCTGAGTGAAGGAATGCTAGGCATTCTGGGTATCGTTACGATGCCGCGACGGTAGAGCATAACAACGGCTGCAAGTAGACCCACTCCAAGCAGGGAGCCCAGCACTGCGCCCACCACGACCCCTGCACTGTTTCCAGCCGCCTCGCTGCTGCTCGCCCCGGATGACGCATGGAACTCCGCGCTGGAGATACCGATGTTAAAGCCGTGGTTGTGCACATCCTGCACTACGTCTCGAGCGAGAGCTTCAGCCAGCTTCCCGGCTTCCTGACCTGTTTTCTGGTCCAGAAGCAACACCTGAATCTCCTGAGTGGCTCCGAAAGGAATAACTCGCAGCAGCCTCTGCTCTTTTGACACTTTCGACAAGGCCATCTGTATAGATTCATATTTATGCTGGCTGAGAAAGAGGTGCTGCAGCCGTTGGCGATACGACTCAAAGTTGAAGCTCGAAGAGAACTGAACGTTCACGACAGCACCACATACGTCACAGCAGTGTCCCACCGGGTGCAGGGGTTTCTTGCACTCCAACGAATCGCATTTCACATTTGAACAGATCCTGTCTCGATTTCCAGAGTTGTCACAAATGCACCCTGTGCTATCGTCACAGCTTGAACCGCCAACTTTAAGGGATGAGGAACCATGGAATTGCAGCTTGCCGGAATTGGATGACAGGTACTGAGAAAACTCAGAGCTGCTGGTGAACTTCTTCCCAAGTACAGACACACTCTTCACGGGCACGTCATGATCTGATGAAACGTCCACACGGAATGAGGTGCCCTCTCGAAATACCACATCGTCATACTGGCACGGGACACTCTCCTCGTGGACTGAAAACTGATATGTACCTCTGTGCAGCTCGTCGATTGTGGTCGCAGCCACCCACAGCGATGGGTCGAACCATTTCCGAGATTCAGGGTCTTTAAAGTGTGCTGTGACCCCAGATCCACAACCAGGATCTCCACCCTCTCTTACAGTAAACCCAGCGCCAGATGCCAGAATCAGTTCTCCATCCACCGGCAAGCTCATTCCAGTGATAGTGTGAGCCGTTTCTACATACACTGATACTTTCCTCTGAGCTAAAAACACAACTTGGTCATTACCGCAGGGTACAGAGCCTTTATCCCAGTTGGTAGCATTTTCAAAATTGGTGTCTGGAATCCATTGCTTGTAGAGTGCGTTAGCAAAAGGTAAAATGCAAAGGAAAAGCAAGACGTTGTGTCGAAGAGCCATGGTGAAACGAATGGTTAGGAAGAAAGACAGAGCGACCTTTGGTCAGTCACTAACGGTGCGACTGTCACATGAGTGCTCACGCTTTAGAGCTATTTTGTTAGTCAAACATCTACTACAATGACAATAAAGGCACACATTGAGACTACTGTAAAATATTTAATAGGCAAACTGTGATGCTCTGTTGCGTACGTCTAGCGGCGGGTTACACAAAAACATGGTATAGGATAGGAGAAAAAGTGCAATGTTACATTACATCTCCCTCTCTCTGTCTCTCTCTCATGTTCCTTCTTAAATGTAGAGGTGCCATGTTGGCAGAATACCTTGTTACTTCAGTATATATAGTATTATCGAAAGACGCTGTAAGCGATTTCCACCATTTTGCTAACTTAAGCCCTATTCACACGGGATTAGTATTACCTGGTGACCTCCAGTCATCCTATATTAGTTTCTTTTTTTGAAATCCATCTAGACCATAGAACGGGACTCTCAAAGCCTTGACATCCGGGTATCCGGGAGACAAGTCAGTAAATTCAAGTAAAATCACAGGCTTCGCTTATCAGGTGCGAATGCACCACACGAAATTCAGATGTGGGGGGGTAATTTCAAAATCACACAAGGTCCCCAGATAATACTAATCCCGTGCGAATAGGGCTTTAGCCACTGAACTAGACTAGCCCCATCACTTTAGCAACACGCCCTCTCTCCAAAACCTCGCCCTCCAAAGACATGACATCCAATTCAATGTCAGCAAACCCATAATGTACAAAATGATTTACAGGCAAATAGTTTCTGATTGGTTATTTTTTAGAGATTCATCAGGTAATGGGGTGTGCCATGATACAAAAATACAAAAACAATAACTTGAAGGATTAGCACATTCATATAGTACTATTAACTCCATATATATATATAGAGAGAGAGAGAGAGAGAGAGAGAGAGAGAGAGAGTTAAATCGTCTCTTAAATCGTATCGAATTAAATCGTTCTCCACGTTACTCTGGTACTATGTTTAAAACAACAACAACAAAACAGCTTACATCAAGAGAAAACAAAACTTTTAATTTTGTTGTCCTTTTATTGTAGTTTCAGAACAGCTAGTCACTTTTATTTGTATCTGAGCAGGAGCAGTGCTGATGCTGAGCAGCATATAGATGGCGTTATCATGTTAAACCTGTTAGTTTTCTCACCGCTGGTCGGATAATCGAGCAAACACAATTGTTTGTGAATACTGGATATGGATTTTTTTTTTCCATGTACAAATCTTTGTATACATTTTTTTTTTAAGTATTTTGTAGCATAACTCATCCGAGATTTGCATGCAATTCAATTTAGGAATCATTATTTGAGCCACCATGCGCCCCCTAAAGGAGGACAGCTCAAATTAAATATTAGTAACGTTTGCTTCTCATAGAGTGAGCACGTGTGTTTACATACACGTCAGCAGGAAATAAGACTACCTGCACCAACATGAGCAGACAGGTGAGTTGTCACTTATATTTCCTTTAAAGAAAACTGTTATGAAAGAGCTCTCAGTGGCAATATGTAGAGTTTTGCATGTTCAGTCATGTTTAAGTGCATCTGTCAGCATGACTTGTGGATGAAGGAATAATAACTAAAAAAAAATTGCGGTTGCATGATACATACAATTCTGAATCACTTTGAATGTCGTAGTGTTAAAACCTGAACTGATGCAGTATTTGTTTTGAAGGATTCTCTTGGTGAAGTGCCATTATTCCATGAGGATGAAAATGCGTTTAGAGAGAAGAAATCAAACATCAAGTGAGTTTTTAGAGTTGGGAAAACATAGACTAAAGAAACCGTTTGACATTAAGTGACATTTTATAACTGCTAAAATGTAGATTACACTGTGAGCAATCTTGAGCACTATATGTAACACTTTAGTATAGGGACCAATTCTTACTATTAACTAGTTGCTTACCCTGTTGAAAAAACCAGCATATGCTAGGAGTTTATTGAGGCAAAAGTCGTAGTTCATGGTGTGTTAATAGCGAGAATTGGACCTTAAAATAAAGTTTGACCGTTTCTTCTTTTTCTTCTTTAAATCATTCTTCAGTCAGAAAGATTACTATATAAATAATAGTTTGTTCTTCTCAGACATCCTCTGGCCTGTTTCTTTCATCTCTTCTTCCGCACAAGTGCAATCCTGATCTACCTCTTTTGTGAGTTTCTCAGCCGAAGTTTTATTGCCAACATGGTCACCATCATTTTACTTCTGTCATGTGACTTCTGGACAGTAAAGGTGAGCATGGAGTCAACATGAAATCTTTCTTAACGCATATTCTAATAATCAGGTCTTCTCTAAGAGGTACATTTCTGAACGTTTCGGTGTTTTTTTATATGTAAGAATGTGACGGGACGACTGTTGGTGGGCTTGAGATGGTGGAATCAGGTTGATGAAGACGGTCACAGTCATTGGATGTTTGAATCCAGATCAGTGAGTCTCGCCACCCACAACTTTACAATACTGCAGGACATTAAAACATATTTGCAACTGCGGAAGGCAACCATATAATAAAAATCAAGTTTATGATTGTTATTAACAATACTGAGGTAATGTACAACTTTAATATATAGCTATAGCTAACTTTTATCGCAGCTGGATCAAAGTTTAATGATCATGTTTTGTTGTAAACGAACACATTCAGTTGTGTGATTATTTTAAAGAGTGAAATTTCCTCTTTTGAGTCACACTGTTCAAATATTAAAAGAATAGTTCATACAAACGTGAAATTCTGACGTCATTTACTAACCCTCATGTTGTTCCAGACCCATATTGACTTTCTTTGTTCTATGGAACACTAAAGGAGAATTGTGAAGGATCTTCAAGACCTTCAAGGGCCAAACCAAAAAAAACAGTTACAATCACATGATAGCTTTGTGTGAAAAACAGAAGCTGTAATACATATTTACTATACATAATAAAACAGTAAAAATGTCCTCCGCTGCTTGTCTCAAATCTTATTATCTATTTCTGCACATTTGAACATGCTGATCATGAATATTATGGAGTAAATTTGACCTTTTTTGAGCTTGTCAAATGTGTTCATATGTAAAAGAGCTGTATGTAACATCTCTCCTGTGTATACGTGTTAAACAACGTAAGGGAGAATGAATAATGAGAGAATTTTATTTGATGACTGAACTATTTCTTTAATACCTATCTATTTGGTCTATTTCCTTTCAGGGAACCAGTAAAAACGTGGTCTCAAATTCTGATTCACGGATTTTCTGGATTGGCCTAATCGTGTGTCCATTGTTTTGGGCTTTCTTTGTGTTTAGCTCACTATTCTCCTTCAACATAAAGTGGTTGGTGAGTTTTCAAATTCTCTCAAATGCCTCATTTTGATGTATAAGCCATCTGAGCTGTGAGCTGTGAGCTGTAACGTGTCTGTGTGTGTCTGTGTGTGTGTGTGTGTGTCTGTCTCTGTGTAGGCGGTTGTGATCATGGGAGTTGTGCTGCAGTGGGCAAACCTATATGGATATGTGCGATGCAAAGTTGGTGGTGCAACCAAACTGAAGAACATGGCAACTAATTACTTTGGCCTTAAGCTCTTCAAAAAGGTAACACTGAGTTCTAGAGGAATACAATAGCCTATATAAAAAGCTCCTTGATATTGTTTTAACTGTTCTTTATTCTCATACAGGTAGTAGACCAACCAGAGGGACCATAATTTGACTGTGGCTGGCTTAATTTTATTGACTAGGGAGTTTTTCTACTTATTTTGTCTGGTTGAGCTATTTTTTCAATCTAATTATTATAATTTTTCATGGTGAATTCTTCTTCCCTCTTCATGTTTCTATTGACAGCTTTTCTTTTTGGCTAGCTTCGTCAAACTTTGTGTTTCCTTATCTGTTTGTGTTTCCTTATCTGTTAGAAAAATTATTTGTATGAAATTGAAACGCATTAAAATATACTGAGCTGAGGACTACGTCTTAATATTGATTACAATTATAAAACATTGTAAAGTCTCCTTTAGGCTGTCGTGACATGCACACCGTGTTATTCTTCAGTTTTTCTCCAGGTGTTGCTGTTGCTCCACGTAAAATGCGCTGCTTTGGAAACTCCGCAGTTAATTTACCTTTAAACATTACTTGAGAATATATGTACTAAAAGTACTAAAAGTGAAAACAGTGGCAGTGCTTAATGAAATTTTGTCCACAGAATAGCCATATTTGACACTATCAACATAGTAATGCACTATAACATTTACAATCATTGAATCTCTTTTATTATTAGAATCATTATAAATAATATTATTTTATGTTTATATTTGTATTTGTAGTTTGGGGACAGATTCTCACTATTAACTCAATAAACTCCTAATTTTCTGCTTATTTAGTCAGTAATAGTTATTGTAAAGTTTTGGGATGGTGTAAAATTAAGGGATCCAAAATATGGTCAAGCAGAATAAGGCATTAATATGTGCTTTATAAATACTAATAAACAGCCAAGTAAATAAGCAACTAGTTAATAATGAGAATTGGCCTCTAAACTAAAGTGTCACCCTAAATTGTTTGTTATCTGCTGAATTTTGCTCTCAAAGCAATCACCACACAATCATGAGTCAAACTTTAAAAAGCTTTATGTCCATATTTGACTGTTCTTTGAGATGTTATGACAGTGACATAAGCCTCACAGTATTGTGCCTGGTCTATTATGAAGACTTCCATGTTGTTTGCGTTGCAGTCAATAAGCGGAGTTTGACCAAATGTGTAACGACATCTGTCCACAGTAAAATATGACAAATCACAACTTTTGTTTGATAGCTGCAATATAAAATTCAGAAATAGGTCAAAGTGTGCAGGCTGTTATGAGAATATATGAACAAACAGACATCACGAGAAGCCACTTAAAAGTGGTTTTATAGTATGTTATTGTGAAAATACAGCTAAAACAAGCATCTACTGTCTTGGTCTTGTCATGTGCCACTGGCACTCTAGACAATGTGATTTCTACATATTCATCTGTCAAATCTATAA